TTTACTTTTATTATTTATGGTTTTAGCCTAAATGAACTAATTGTATTATAGATATATTTATTGTATTGTACAATCAGTCCAAGAAATTTACTTATTTAAGATTTTTAAGGTTTAGCTTAAATAATTTTTATGAATATTTTAAATATTTTATAAAATAGGTTTTAAATACTTAAAAATATATAAGCTAATATTTAATTAAATATTATTTAAATGATTAAGTAATTAGTTGATTGGAATATTTAAAATATATTAAATATTTTCAATGTATTTTATAAAATATTAAATTTGAGTTATTATTGATATTTTGGAAATTCTAATAACTAAGTGTACTTAAAATGATTAAAATGATTAAAATATTGCCATCATATCATGTCCCACCCTTGCACAAACCATGTCTAAACCATGTCTACATAGGTTGAGGCGTCTCAAAGCTGTGTCCATATCTGACACTAGTCCTACACAAACATGGAAGGCATTTAGAAATGTATGTGCCTCATGTACAAACAAATTGGGACCTCAAATATGAAAAATATAGATGAATTGATAGGTAAATTAAGCACCTACATGATCATATAAGATGACTTTAGATTTCTTAATTACCAATATTTAAAAATAGTTTTAATTAATATTAAAATAATTTAATTTTTTTTTTATAAAAATAAGATTAAAATCAATTAACCCTAAATATAAATACTGTGGGGCTACGAGCTGCAGTGGGATTATACGAAGAAAATCACGGGGCAATTATTGCTTGTGGCGCAACCATTTCGCCGCCAGCAATCATTGCGTATTGATAAAACTGCGGACACAATTTCACTTAACCCCATCAACAAAGCCTCAACGTCGTAGGATCGCCCGCGATTATGGGTTAAATGATTCTGATTGAGCCAGACAGAATACTGAGCGTGAGATCGAATCCGTGATTAAACAAAGTCGCATAATTACCTTATCCAAACTGTTGATTGAGCAATCAACGATCCAGAAAATATACATTCACTATTGTTGTAAATATGGATTCAAGAATTATAATTTTGATGATAAAAAATATTTCTGACACTTATGTTTTTCTAAAACTACCTTGCCTACTAATGTTTCAGGTCCACAAGGCCAATTTAAGTAAGGAAAGTCATCTACAAAAATCAGCAGAAGACCTCTAGAGCAAGAAAAAAATGGGGAGAAAGAAGATAAATTTATAACTTTTGTACATGAGGAGGGATGCTAAATTAAGTAGGGAAAGTCACCAACTAAAAAATAATGAAATACGTCGACCGTAAGAAAGTCAGAGGGAGAAATGAAGGTGTAAGTTCCTTCTGGCCCTGGGGGGTATTTATAGAATTTTTTGGGAAGAAAAGAATATTCCAGAATTTTCTAGTATTTTCCCAAATTTTCTAGAATTTTTCAAAATTTTCTAGAATTTTTTAGAATTTTTCAAAATTTTTTGGAATGCCTCGACCGTAAGAAGTTAGCCAGTTTGACCACCTACTCTTGCCCGGGACCGATTTTTAGCCCGAGCCCGATTTTCGGCTTGGTCGGTCCAAATCCGACATTTTTAAGGTCCCCAAACACATTTTTTGGAGGTTCATACTGAATTTTGACATTTTCGGAGCTCAACAGGGCCTCTATAATCAAGTTTGAGAAAGTTCTTAATTTTTGAAACGCAATTTCTTACGATTTGGCCAATGCAAATTATCGACGCATATATTTTCTGGCTCTTGGAGCTTCAACGTCCGAAAAAAGGGGGGCAATTGATATATCATCAAAAAATTATCTTGATCGGGCATGAATCTCGAGGAAAAAAATCAAGTTGAAAACTTCAAAAATTAAATCTGGGATCATCTAAACTTTGATTTTAGCAAACTTATTGTCGAACTGATTGTCTCAGAAATATGAACCCAATGACGTGAAATTCAACTCAATCTGAGCTCAAATGAGTCCAAATCAAGGCCCCGAAGCAAATTCGGAAGGTTCAATTCATAATTTGAATTATCAAACAATTTCCAAATATGACATGCTTATGGTCGAATCGAGCGGCTAGATGAAACGAGTCCAATGAGTTCAAGATCGTCAAATTCCAATATCATTAAGACCTTCAAATGTCTGACGAACGGTCCACGATCAAGGGATTCAATATCGACTGTCCATTTAAACCATTCCCGATTCGCCCCCGATCTCTCACCTATTTAAAGGTTATGCCACTCTAGAAATCTATAAATAAATCTTTCTTTTCTCTTTTGGGGGGGGGGGGGAAAGCAAAGAGGAAAGAAGGAGAAGAGAAGAGAAGAAGGATATGAGGGAAGAAACTCCTTCTCGACCACCACCAGAGTTCTGCCCGACGTTCAAGTGACACTAGAATTTTTCCCCTCGAAGTGATACCGGGATTCCGCCAAACCTGCAAGTGACGCTGGAATTTCGCCTGATCTCCAAGTGATGCTGGAGTTTCACCCGAACTCTTAGTGACATTGGAATTCCGCCTGACATGCAAATGATGCTAGAATTTCCCCCAACCTCCAAGTGACGCCGGAATTCTGTCCGATCTCCAAGTGACTATGGAGTTTTTCCCAAATAGCATCTAACGATGTAGTTCTCTCTGGCTATCAACTGACGTCGGACTTCAACCCGATGTCGGACCTCCTCTCATCGCCAAATTTCTACCCGACACTGAACTTCTACCTATTATCGGACTTTCACCCAACATATATATGATGTTAGATTTCTGTCCATTACTAGACTTCTACCAGACATAGCCCTTCGGACCTCTATCACCCGTTGACTACGGTTCTTCTAACTTACGTCGCCGGCCAACTACAGCCCTTCTGACCTCTATCACCCGCCGACTAAGGTCCTTCTAACTTACGTCGCTGGCCGACTACGGACCTTCCGACCTCAGTCACCCGTCGATTACAGTTTTTCTAAATTATGTCGCCCGCCGACTACAATCCTTTTGAGAATAAAATAATTATAAGAGAGGTGCATTTAAAAAATTTGCCCTCCCAAGCCTTTAACATTGCCCCCCTTTTACTCTATCCGCCAACAATCACCGAGCATGTCAAACCCCACTAGGTGGCGCTGCCCCCTTGGACCCCCGACATATCTGCAAAGCATATAACAATCAAGGATATGAACAAATAGCTGTCAAGCCAAATTAAATTCAACTCTAACATATATTTTGTAGAAAATTGTATGATTAATCAATTACATCATTTTTTTTTGCAACTTAATCAATTATAAGAAATGGTGACCCATTTTATTTTAGCAAAGCGTATAACAATTAAGGAAATGAACAAATAGGTGTCGAGCCAAATTAAATTCAACTCTAACAAATATTTTATAGAAAATTGTATGATTAATCAATTACATCATTTTTTTCAACTTAATCAATTATAAGAAATGGTGACCCATTTTCTTGTAGTGAAATGTTGAGCCAAATTCAATAAGATGGCTTAGTAGACTTCAATATATGTTAGTAAAATATCTGAAGCAGTTTTTATTTTATTTTTTTATGAACCTTGTAGGAGAAAATTTTTCCTCTGGTCACCCTTGTCAATTTTTTTTTATTTTTTATACCGAACTATTAAACCTAAAACACACACACACACACACACACA